AACATTAAAATTTTATTTAAAGATGTTAGCAATGCTTATTTTAACCCACTTGATTTAAAAAAATTCAAAAAAGTTCAAAAACAACAATTATGACAATTGTCACTTATCTATGGTACATCTTCACTAAAATTTTATTTAAACATGTTAGCAATGCTTATTTTAGCCCACTTGCTTTAAAAAAATTCGAAAAACTTTCAAAACAACGATTATGACAATTGTCACTTATCTATGGTACATATTCACTGAAATTTTAATTTAACATCTTTACAATGTAAATTATATTTTTATGTTATAAAAATTAGGTATATAATCCCTGAGGCCGAATCGAGTCCTGAATCATTTTTAATTACGACATGAATATTCTTATTATAATTTTGTTCACATAAATCAGTTACCCCCAAAATTTAGCAATTTACCAGATTTTATAAAAAAGACAAAAAAATTGAGCAGACCCAGCGATTCGACTAAGTGAGCCGAATACACAAGCCGACTAAGCGAATCGACTTGAGTCAAAGTCGTTTTATCAACTAGAAACTAGGCTCGAGTAGCAGCTAAGTCGACTCGGCTTAGCCGTTTACACTATATGGTACATCTTCATTAAATTTTTATTTTAACATGTTTACAATATATATTTTTACCCGTTGGCGTCAAAAAAATTTAAAAAAGTTAAATAATAACGATTGTCACTTTTCTATGGTACATCTATATTGTGAAATATTAATTTAACATGCTAACTATAAATATTTTTACTATTTTGAATCAAAAAATTTCTTAAAAGTTAAATAATAAAGATTATGACAATTGTCACTTTTTTATGGTATATCTTCATTGAAAATATTTACATGTTAATCATATAAATTATAACCCATTTGCATCAAAAAAATTAAAAAATAATGATTATGACAATTGCCACTTTTCTATGTTACATCTTCATTGAAATTTTAATTTTACATTTTTTTAATAGTATATAAATTTTTACCCATTTTTGTCAAAAAAAGTAACCATTAGGACCATTGTGGCTTTTCTGTGTTACATTATATTTTCAATGAAATTTTTGCTTAACATTTTATTAATAACATTAATTTATACCCATTTGTGTCAAAAAAAAGTTAAAAGATATCGATTATGACAATTTTCACTTTTTATGGTACATCTTCATTGAATTTTTGTTTAATTTTAATTTAACATGCTTACTAACACCTATTTACTTTAAAAAAAAATATCATAAAAATAATAATTTACTATGACATTTTAAAATATGAAGATCATTGAAAATCGTTGATCAAAATTATTAAAAAAAAAATCTTCAAAGATCGAGATCTCAAATTATATTCAACTCGATATTTGAAGATATTTTTATTTGACCAAATGTATAACTCTGCATTTTTATTTGATTTTAATTCTGAAATGAACGACTTGAGTTCACAATAAAAATGAGGGTTTTTACCAAAGAAACTCGATTTATACAGAACAGATTTTACTAAAAAATACGTCTTCTTATATTATTATTTTATTTATTTAAAAAAAAATGGAAAGAAAATTTTATAATTTTTTTTTAAATTTAAGGTAATTATGAATTACTCATCTCGAGTTTACTACTCTAGTTCCGAGCGGTTAACTAAGGATTAAATTGATTACCGACTACCTCTGAGTCGAAATCAAATGAACTCGACTATTTAACAACACTAATCTTTATCTTCACAGTAGGTTATAAAACAGTGTACTTTCGTCTACATGCCACTAGATATACCCTAATGGGTGAAGTCTAAAGTATAATATAAGAATACGAATAGAATATAGTGTGTGATTGTATTAAATAAGTTACGGAGGAATTCCCAATATGTTTTTATAATTTATTTTTAAAATAAGAAAACAACAAGTTATTATCATGAAAGAAAAACAAGTGATCCCAAATTGAAAATATATATTAATATATATATATATTTTGTTGCCTTGAGATATACAAATAAATTTCACTGAACTTTAAAATATAAATTATTTAAGTATTTAAATATATAATAGTTTAACTGAATTTTAAATATAAATTATTTAAGTATATAATAGCGCACATGCAACATGCACCACCTCCAAAAAAAATATATTTAAAAAAAAAATTTTAAATCTTGAAAACACAACATGGTACAAAAAAATGGGGAAGGAAAGAACTCTTTTGGCATGCGAGAGGTAATTTAGATTTATTTTTTAAGAATAAAAAATATATATCTATATTATAATTTTCCGATGTCCTCACTACGTCATCGTGACGTCATGTCATCGCTACGTCATGTCATCGCTACGTCATGTCATCGCTACGTCATGTCATCGCTACGTCATGTCATCGCTACGTCATGTCATCGCTACGTCATGTCATCGCTACGTCATGTCATCGCTACGTCATGTCATCGCTACGTCATGTCATCGCTACGTCATGTCATCGCTACGTCATGTCATCGCTACGTCATGTCATCGCTACGTCATGTCATCGTTACGTCATGTCATCGTTACGTCATGTCATCGTTACGTCATGTCATCGTTACGTCATGTCATCGTTACGTCATGTCATCGTTACGTCATGTCATCGGTACGTATTTATTTATTTATTTGTTATATTTTTTTAAACAGATGTTCATACCAAATTCTGAAATCAGAAGAAGTAATTTATTTGTTGATTTTTTATGAGACTATCATTTTCCTTGACTGAAATCGGAGTGCCAGATACCAATTTTTAGAGATTATCATTTTATTTGAATTCCTGAAATCAGAAGAAGTAATTTATTTGTTCATTTTTTATAATCATATCTATTTTTAGCTTATGATGGATGATATTCCCACTATTTCTAGAGAGGTTAACCTAATATTGACTCTATTTTTTATTTATTCTTTTGTTTTTATTTTAGATCATGTTCATTGCATTTATATTCTTTATATTATTCTTTGTTTTTATTTTAGATAACAAGCCTTGTCTTACCCATATTTAATGATTGTACAGGTGGTATATTGACTCCTCATCAAGTTCAATGCATTTATTTATTTTATTTATTCTTTTGTTTCTATTTTAGATAACAAGCCATGTCTTACCCATATTTAATGATTGTACAGGTGGTATATTGACTCCTCATCAAGTTCAATGCATTTATTTTTTTTATTTATTCTTTTGTTTCTATTTCAGATAACAAGCCATGTCCTAACCTCAGTTAATGATTGTATTCCCACTATTTCTAGAGAGGTTAACCTAATTCTATTTTTTATTTATTCTTTTGTTTTTATTTTAGATCATGTTCATTGCATTTATATTCTTTATATTATTCTTTGTTTTTATTTTAGATAACAAGCCCTGTCTTACCCATATTTAATGATTGTACAGGTGGTATATTGACTCCTCATCAAGTTCAATGCATTTATTTTTTTTATTTATTCTTTTATTTCTATTTTAGATAACAAGCCATGTCCTAACCTCAGTTAATGATTTTATTCCCACTATTTCTAGAGAGGTTAACCTAATATTGACTCTATTTTTTATTTATTCTTTTGTTTTTATCTTAGATCATGTTCATTGCATTTATATTCTTTATATTATTCTTTGTTTTTATTTTAGATAACAAGCCCTGTCTTACCCATATTTAATAATTGTACAGGTGGTATATTGACTCCTCATCAATTTCAATGCATTTATTTTTTTTATTTATTCTTTTGTTTCTATTTTAGATAACAAGCCATGTCTTTCCCATATTTAATGATTGTACAAGTGGTATATTGACTCCTCATCAAGTTCAATGCATTTATTTTTTTTATTTATTCTTTTGTTTCTATTTTAGATAACAAGCCATGTCCTAACCTCAGTTAATGATTGTATTCCCACTATTTCTAGAGAGGTTAACCTAATATTGACTCTATTTTTTATTTATTCTTTTGTTTTTATTTTAGATCATGTTCATTGCATTTATATTCTTTATATTATTCTTTGTTTTTATTTTAGATAACAAGCCCTGTCTTACCCATATTTAATGATTGTACAGGTGGTATATTGACTCCTCATCAAGTTCAACGCATTTATTTTTTTTATTTATTCTTTTATTTCTATTTTAGATAACAAGCCATGTCCTAACCTCAGTAAATGATTGTATTCCCACTATTTCTAGAGAGGTTAACCTAATATTGACTCTATTTTTTATTTATTCTTTTGTTTTTATTTTAGATCATGTTCATTGCATTTATATTCTTTATATTATTCTTTGTTTCTATTTTAGATAACAAGCCATGTCCTAACCTCAGTTAATGATTGTACAGGTGGTGATTTATCCTTCATTATTAAAAGTAAAAGATGGCAGATCAATCAAAAAAAGAAACGCTCTATGGATAGCGAGGCCCTACAAAATCTACTAACAACTCAAAATAAAGTTAGCATTATATATATATTTTTTTAATACTCTTTTATATTATAGAATACATCTATTTTAGCTTCTGATAATGGCCCAACTATTTCTAGGGAGTTGAACCTAATATTGACTCCTCTTCAGGTTCATTGCATTTATAATCTTTATATTATTCTTTGTTTCTATTTTAGATAACAAGCCATGTCTTTCCCATATTTAATGATTGTACAAGTGGTATATTGACTCCTCATCAAGTTCAATGCATTTATTTTTTTTATTTATTCTTTTGTTTCTATTTTAGATAACAAGCCATGTCCTAACCTCAGTTAATGATTGTATTCCCACTATTTCTAGAGAGGTTAACCTAATATTGACTCTATTTTTTATTTTATTCTTTTGTTTATATTTTAGATCATGTTCATTGCATTTATATTCTTTATATTATTCTTTGTTTCTATTTTAAATAACAAGCCATGTCCTAACCTCAGTTAATGATTGTACAGGTGGTGATTTATCCTTCATTAATAAAAGAAAAAGATGGCAGATCAATCAAAAAAGAAACGCACTAGGGATAGCGAGGCCCTACAAAATTTACTAACAACTCAAAATAAAACCTTATTCCCTCACATTGCTACAAAACATGATGATTCTATTATTAAAGATAAGCAAAGAAAATAATGACGAATAAACAAACGCCTTACCCGTTCTAGAGTTACTGGTAGACAAAATAATAAAGAACTACGCTTGAAATGAACTCATCTGGAGGTTTTTTTTTATCTTATGTTTTATATCTATGTTTATTTTATTTTCACCCAGTTCTCCAAATGATATTTCTATCACCACTATCACAATCCCTATGCCACCTCCACCTATTTTTTAACAAAAATAAACATTTTTATTTATCACTAAATTTTATTATCTCATTCTTTTCTTTCTATCTCTATTATCTATTAACCACTATATCTCAAAACCTTATCACCTTTAATTTATATAATATAATATAATATTATACCTTCTTTTTCCCCCCTTTTTTAATCTAATTTTTTAATTACCTTACAATTAATTAACCTTTATCTTAATAACATTACATTTATCATGTTATTTTTTAACTTTTATAATATAATAGACTTGATAAGTCCCCCAAAAATTTTATTTGATGATAGCCCTCCAACTTATTAGAAATATGCATCTAATATTGACCCTTCTACCGGTTTTACATTATTTTAATGTTTGTTTAATTTCAACAATAGTATATTTATATTTTTGCCTGATTTCTTTATTTGTCTAGGCTAACCCTAATCCCTCACATTGCTACCAAACATGATGAATCTATTATTAAAGATAAGCAAAGGAAAAAATGGCGATTCAACAAACGCCTTACCCGTTCTAGAGTTACTGGTGGCCAAGATAATAAGGCACTTTGAACTCCTCTGGAGGTTTATTTTGTTTTTTATCTAATGTTTTATATCTATATGTTTATTTTATACACCCAGTTGCCTCCAAATGATATTTCTATCACCACTACCACAATCCCTATGCCACCTCTGCCTAATTTTTAACAAATATAAGCATTTAATTCCACTATCATTCACCTCATTAGGAGTTATTATAAATAATACTTTATCCGATTCCCTGAGGAACTTTCATGAATATTTAGAGAGATGTTTAAACGTGAATGTGTAGTGCAGCCAATTTCATTAACATTATTAATGGGAAAATATGCGATAGTTTTGTCATGGCTTTTATAACAATACTTACGACCGTTTTATGGTTGAGTTGACAATGTCGTTCATGATTCTATTTTAGAGGTGTATACCAAAATTGACACTTTGGCAGAAATATCATTTCGCGTTCTTCTCCTCAGCTTTATCAGGATGAAATGGGTGTTGTACACTGCTTTGGTAATCCGTCATTATTCATTACTTTCACCTACAACCCTAAATGGGATGATATTATACATTAATTTTTTCTTCTGCAGACGACTGCCCAAATTTATTTTGTCGCTTTTTCCATCAAAAATTAAAATGTCATACAGGATTTGCTCTTATTTTTACCAGACACACAGAGTATTAATTAATCCTCATCATTTTTAATAAAAATATCTAAATTTATATGGCAAGAAAAACAAATTTCTTAAAAAATATATAAATAAATTGCATATAAGTTTCATTAGTATTGAATGGCATTTTGTAATTTAAATAGATAGCATTTTTTTGTACTTAACAAAAGATATAGATAGCCCTTATCAAATTTTTTGATAAAAGAAGTTAACTCACTAATTGGTAAATCCGAGATTTCCCCTTCATGTGTTGATAAATTATTTAGAAATTTAACTATCTCCGGGTTTGGGAAATAGTTTTGAAACTTAATATGTGATGGACTGGGCTTAAAAATATTCCTCAAGATTAATATTTGCTTGCACCTGACTTGGGAATATCTTCTACAAATTATTATGAGCCGGGCTAGGAAAAAATTTTCAAAATTATTATGGGTTGAGCTAGGCTTGAGAAATTTTTTAATAAATAAGGTCTTGAACGCGTGGAAATTTTTTCCAAATATTATGAGCTTGGACCTGGCTTGAAATTTTTTAATGTTAAATGTTAGTCTTATGTAACCAGTAATATATTTACAAAGAATTTTGGTATTGGGTACAAGCTCATTTAAATATATTTTGACTCAAATAATAGTTTCCACTCTTAGTCCTTGGACTCAATGACATTGCTTGGACTTGACATAAATGGGGAGGGTAGGGGGTTTAAAAATTATATAAATTAAATATGATTTTTAAATAAAAGGTAACATCTTTCTTAAAAAAACGAATAAAATTCTCATTCTCCGTCATTTTTGACGGGCTATCTACTAGTATGTATAAAGAGGAAATGACACCATAGTTGTACATGATAGTTTTTTTATGTAATTATCCTTACAAAAGGTATAGATTACACTATCGATAGGTACAATTCACACTATAGGTGGCCAATAAACAATAAATATATTTGGAATAAAATTAATTGAATGAAGAAAATTATTTAATCAAAAAAAAAATAATGAAAATATATGATAAAATTTGGAGATGGTGATAAACACAAATATAAGAAAAGCGTATTATCATAGAAAACAATCATAATTAAAGAAACATTATGATCTAAATGAACAATTTTGACCTTAGAAAATTTGAATTTCAAATGACATTACTGATCCTCTCAGTGACAATACCCCCACGCCAAAATTGATTGATGCTCACTTTAACAAAAACGGAGTTGCGTAAAGTTAATTCTCAAAATTTAATTCTTTTAAAATTAAGATAGTAAATCAAAGTCATTGTCATTTCTTTTAAATTTAAGGTTATAATCAAAGTAATTGTCATTGAACAATCAACCGATTCCTATTCGAAGCGATAACGGATTATTAAAAGTTAAAAAATTAACCCTATCTCCTATCTCTTTAGTATTAAAATCAAAATTAAATCAATCAAATCAAATTCTTTGATCCAATCTAGACCACATAAAGGTGGTCCCTCCCCTTCCAAAACATAAAAATCTAGATATTTAATCGTATTTAGAAATTTGACCTTACAATTAATAACTTTACCAATGACTGTGATAGGCGACCCTTCATAAGCGAATAATTTCTTCGAACAACTCTTCAACTCCACATCTTCATCCTTCGTTAGCTTTTCAAACTCTTTCATGGGCAAGGATGACACCGGAGAACCAGTATCTATCATAAAAGAAAAATCATAATTATTAACTTGAAGGTCAATCATAATATCATTAATAAAATTAATTTTATTTCTTGGCCTTAAATTATAAGGGGTTTGTATCATTTCCGTCTTTTTGAAATTGTTGTAATTGCTGTTGTTGTTGTTGCTGCTGCTGTTGTTGTTGTTGTTGCTGCTGTTGTTGTTGTAATTGTTGTTGTTGGCCTTAAAAGTCTGCTTGTTCTCTTTCCAAGACAAATAGCCTTGCCAATCGGTTCTATCCTCTCTTCTCCAAGAATCTTTCTCTACATATGTTTTATTATTATTGATCTCCAACGATTGAAATTTGACAACAATGTCCTCTATAATATTAATCTCTGTAGTATTTTCTTCAATCAACCTTGTTTTTAGCTTTTCATTACGACAATTCAACATAAAATGCACCGACAAATATTCAGGATTAACCCCCGAACCATATCCTTTCAGTCTATCGAAATACTCTCTGGAAGACTCAAGTCTGTCCGGTTTTGTATTGAACAACTCCAAAATACGCGTGATCTTGTTCTTTTCAACTTTCTTTTGTGCTAAATCTTTCATTTGTTGATATGATAAATTATCAATGTTATCCATGATACTCACAGCCATCTCTTTATCCAATGTTTCGAATAATTTATATTTTTTGTAGCTTCATCTATAATATTCTCCGCAAGAAATTTTAGATCCAACGTCTTCAATAATACCTTGATCTTTAAATCATTCCTATCCTCCACCATAAAGTATAATATAAGAATACGAATAGAATAAAGTGTGTGACTTTAAATAAGTTACGGAGGAATTCCCAATATGTTTTTATAATTTATTTTAAAAATAAGAAAACAACAAGTTATTATCATGAAAGAAAAACAAATGATCCCAAAATGAAAATATATATTAATATATATATATATATATTGTTGCCTTGAGATATACAAATAAATTTCACTAATTTTAAATATGAATTATTTAAGTATTTAAATATATAATAGTTTAACTCAATTTTAAATATAAATTATTTAAGTATTTAAATATATAATAGCGCACATGCAACAAAGTCTATTTAATAATGGATTATAGAAATGTTCTCAACCTAGAATGTATTTTTTTTCCTATATTTTAATTGAATATGGCTCAATATTTATTTTAGAAAGAAAACATTTAAACAAATGAGCTTACGATCATAAATAATTCTATATGGGAAAAAACAAATTTTAAGTTTTTAAACCATGGAACATTTTTGGCATTAAAATTATCTTCTGAGAATATTATAACAAAATTTATAAATTTTATTTAAAAAAATTGAGTTAGTGAAGCAAGAATATCCCAATTCTTGTTGTAGAAGCATCCGTTTTGAGTGATTTATAATTGAGAAATATACCTAGGTAACATCTATAAGAGCAGTATGCAAAAGCCACTTTTTTTCCCAATATTTTTATAGGGTAAAGTAAAAAATAAACAATATTTACATAGTTAAGCACAACATAATGATTGGTTGATTAAATGATTCTAAATTAAAATTATTTAGATATTTTTATTTGATTTCAATGTTGAATCAAAAGACTCGAGTTCTTTAAAAACATAAGGTTTAATTTATACCGAAAAAAAATGAGGTTTCGGGTGTTTTTTTACCAAAATACTAGGGAAGTCTTCCCACATTCTTAATTTTATTTACTTCTAAAGAAACTAAAATATAAATTAACATTTATTTTTTAATATAGATAATATTGCTCATACTCGAATTCATAACTCTAGCTCAAAATTCGAGTTTATGATTCGATTTCATGACTCGATTTTATAACTAAAATTTAGAAACAGTTTACAACTCAAGTTCACGGCTGAAGTTCTGAACTAAGTTAGTCGACTAAATAATGGATACCAATTCTGAGTCGGAGTCGAATAAACTCGACGATTTGCTAACATCTATTCTATAATATTTATTATATTTTATTTATTTTAAAAGGTTATGATATTCAACGTTATTTGAAAAATATATTTGTCATACAATAATATAACGTATTTATATTTAAAAGGTCAAGCTAGTAAGCTACTGATATTAATATGTTAAAATATGAAATTTAGAATAACGTTTTATTATTGATATAATGCCAGTATAAAATTTATAATCTATACGAATTTCTTGAATGTTATTAAATGATTGACTTAAAATATGGCTTATGTCATCCCATTTTATGGTTGGCGCAGTATTCTATTTAAACTAATATGGTTCATTCTCAAATTAATGAAGAACAGGAAAGATTTCTGAATGAAGCTCTTACTAACGTTAAATCACAGGCATCGCAAATGAAAAACTGCTTCGTAAATATTTATCAATTATAATATATTTTAGTTTATTAGGATAAATCAAAATTGATGGATGGGCTTAAATTTTGTTCAACAATGTTGAACGAATTAAGAACATCAGATTTATCACCAAAGAGCTATTATGCTCTGTGTAAGTTACATATTATTAGTGAGTATTTATTTATTAAATTATATTTAGATATGTCAGTTGTTGATGAATTAAGATATCTAGAAGGTTTTCTGATAGAAGAAGTCAAAAAAAATATCAAAATAACAGATATATACGAATTGGTTCAGTATGCTGGCAATATTGTGCCTAGATTGTAAAATATGAATATATTTTATTAATTTATTATGTGTCTAGAAATTGAAATACAAAATAGAATTGATGATCAACTATTAATAAATATTTAATCATTAATATAACTAATTTGTAGAATATGATTTGAAACTCAGAAAGAATAAATATGTTAAAATTGTTTTATTCAGAAGAATTAGTGTTTTAAATTTAATCCCATAAGAATTTAGTAATTAGTTTAAAATTGCTAAAATTATAATGATATTTAAAATTTGGATAATGATTTTATCAAATAATAAATTATAGTAATCAATTCATATTTTATGTTTCTTTAGATATAAATTTAAAATCAAATTTTTAATTGTTTGGAAATTACCAGATATTAATAAGTGTTAAAAAATTTTTTGTATTGGGGCTGCAGATAGAACATTTTTTTAAAGGCTGGGCATCTAAAAAGTCAGATAGAACACTCCAATTCTGGACCCATAATACATGAACAATGATGATACTTGTATATTTATTTTATAAATATTTAGTAACTTTTATTTTGTTGCCTTCAATCATTCTTATAAAAATTATTAATATACTTACTGAATAAAAATTATTTCTTTTTGAGATTGAAGAAAGGTTGAAAAATATTTTCTGAAATATAAATAAAATAATTTATTTTCCCACTATGAAATAAAATGTTTTATTATAAACAAAAAATTTAAACTTATATTTATATACAATATACATTAGTTAATCTAAATTTATTACTTTAGATATTTGTTAATAACAGTTGGTGTTGTATATATCAAAACTCTTCCAATAAACACACTTGACAATAAACAAACTAACAATGTTGTTAATAAAAAGGCAGAAATAATTAGAGATTTAGTTGAAATGTGTAGAGGAGTGCAACATCCTTTAAGAGGCCTATTTTTACGATATTATCTACTTCAATCACTAAGAAATTCTCTCCCAGATAATAAACCAATGTCTATACTTAATCTTGATAAAAATAATATTGTTTCACCTAGAGAAAATTCTTATAAAACACAAACTCAAAAAGACAGCACACACTTTGTAGAAAATGACTTGAAAAAGGATGCTGACAATATTATTGACAATGGTATTAATATCGAATATAACATCGTAAACAACACGAATGGGTATACTATTTTTTTATAATATCTTTCCTTTCTCTAATTTCATTCAAGATCAATATATACTAGTGCTGTAAAAGTTACTTCAAAAAAGAAACACGTTCCTTGGTATGTCTAAAAAATAAACGTGTTATTTTTATTCATTACAAAATAAGTTACTCATTAATTAACTATTATAGCCAATTTTTTTTTCTTCCCCTATATATATATATATGTTGAATTCCATATCAAATCAACAAAAAAAAGTCGATTTTCAACCTGACCCTCTTCAATTTTTCTTAAATTTTGTATACTGGTAGTATATACTATAACTAAGAAAAAAATGAAAATTTTGCCTTCCAACACTGTTTACCTGCTAAGATATGGCCGTTTAAAGCTCGGAAAATGGTACATTTTTGACAAAATGCACCTCATTCATTTTCAATTATCTCGAGAATTAAATATGTTAGAAAAATAATTTAAATTTTATTTGTAGCTTAATAAAAGTTCTTTAAAATGACATAAAAATAAATATGATGTGTAAAACAGAAAATGGCTATAGAAAAAAGGGTATTTATTTTTTCAAAATTTTCTGTAGATAGATATCACACTGCTTTATATTTGTACAAAATCCTAGACTGGGATAAACATGGGTTTAGGAGTTATCACTCTTTATATGGCTAAAATTGAACAAATTGAACATTAATATCATCATATTTTAATTTAATGAATAGTTATGAAATAATGTTAATTTAAAAATTATGTCTAAATGATAGTGTTGTAGCTGCTGAAAAAAAGATGAAATAAATTTAATATAATATACTAAATGTCAATCATTTTATGACATGAAGAATTAATTTTCCTTTGGGGAAGAAGGAAGAAGGGGGGGGATTAGAAGATGCCAGCTGTGCAAGAACAATGAATTTTGGGATTGGAACTATTTTTATGAATATGAAACATTTGTAAATTATTTTGATGTGAACATAAATAAAATATGGTATAACATGAAATTAAACAATGTGGTTGTCCTAGTTGGTAATGTTTATTTTTGGTATTTATTTAATTATTAGAAAAGGATTGTTTGCAGGCGCGTATGCAGGAATTTGGTCTGGGGGGAGGGGATAATAAATTTTTTTAAGAAATAATATTTTTAATTAAAAATACTAAGCATAAATTTATTAGGATTAATAACTTTTCTAATACACAATTTTAAACTAATGTGAATTAAAAAAATTATATATATAAACCGGCATTTAAATGTGAATCATAAAATATAAAGTGAATATAACCCACGATATGAATCACCTAAATGACCCAAAATTGAAATTTGAATTTTTTGAGCTTTTAAAATATATAAAGTATAAAAAATTTAAATGTTGTAAATATAAATTAATACACAAAAGTTTCTTAGGAATAATTGTATTTTGTATGTTTTGAGCTAATTTTTCAATTATCAATCCTTGCTTGGCGTTAAATGTCTATGAATATTCAAAAGATCCAAATCATTCAATCTACTTTCAGATGTTGTATTTCATAGGTATGTTTTTCACAGACTTGCAGGCCCGGCCCCTGAGCCGGACCGTATTTTAATTTTTTTAAATATACCGGGGCCGGGCTTGTAATTTTTTTTTTTAAAAAACACCCGGGCTGGGCCTGAAAATTTTTTAAGAAAAAATATCCGAGCCGAGTTGTATATTTTAAAACCAAATATTTGAAATCGCCATTATTAGCTATAAATATCAAAAATAAATATAATTTATTTTAAAAAATTTGGGCTAAGCCAGCCAGGCCAGGCCTGAAAATTTTTTTAAAAAAAACCCGGGCCGGAAAAAATTTTAAAATAAAATCTGGGCCTGGTCCTGCAAATGGTACCTCTGCAAGGCTCTGTTATTCTTCTTAAAAAAGTGAATGTTCTCTCATTAGTTTACTAAAGAGCTGCTAATATATATATAACTATTTTAATAATTGGGAGTATAATCTAAAATGTGTTTGAAATAAAAAGCATCCATAGCATTTTTTGGGACTGTATCAACCATAGTTAATCTTTTAATCATAGTTATTCAGCTAATAAGGCATCATAAGATATTTTAACATCTTCATGATAAAAATATAACAAATATTTATATTTTTTTTCTATCACCATATGAAAAAGGTTGGGAGAGGGGACATTTGTTTTATAATACTCTTCTACTGATTCTATATTAATGTTTTGATGATGAGCTTGCTTGCTGCAAGTCGAGGGGGACAAATATTTAACACGTATAGCTCTGCTTTTGACTCAACATTAACAAATAAAATATGAAATTCTTCAACAACACTAGCTCTATTTCCTTGAGTTCTAATAAAATGCTCTCCGCTATTCTCATCTTCTTAATCAAGTCAATGTTATGTTTTTAAAAGTATTACATAAAATAGTTGTATAATTAAATAATACATTCTAATGAGAAAAAAAATTTGGAATAAGTATTGAATCCAATAATTTTCTTGCTTCTGAGGAAATATTTCTTTCAAGCCATTGTGATATTTCAGTAATAGCATTAATAATCAGCTCTTCTAACTCCAAAATAGCTGTTACTGTGGCGGAGACTCGATCTCGTTGGACAAGCTTGCAATTGTTTTCTCCCTATTGGACAAGGAGTTTCAGAGATAATTATTATTTTATTAGAAATTTAGATAAATATTACGCCACTAAAATTTGGAAATAATAGGTAAATTATGCCAAGGAAAACTTGAAATCGAAATTGATTGATAAAATAACTTAGTAGATGAATGTGATAAATAAAATATATATATATATATGTGTATATATGAGATAAGAATAAATATTAACAAATATAAATTAATATTAACAATAATATTTTTGAAAAATATAATCCGGCATCTGCATTTTTTGGCTTTGGGGGGGGGATTTGTCCCCCTGTCCCCCCCCCGCTGCGTACGCGCCTGATTGTTTGGGATTGATAAGTTATATATTTTAAAGGGAAGGGTTGAGAGTAAGGGGCATTTTTCTATAGATAGGCTCTTACTTTTTTTATATTTATAAAATTTGAGAGGTGGCTGGGATAATGAGCTGTTTAAAACTTTAGTTAAATTTTATCTCGAAATTAAAATTACTTGACAAAATAATTTTAAATATTTATTTAGCATAAAATAATTTACCTAAATTGAAATTCAACAATAGTTTTCCCCCATATATTCAAAATTATAGATTATAAAACATTCAAACAATAGATAGCAGTTGATCGAATTACCCTCGAAACATTGACAAAATCGACGAATTTGTAATTCCTCATTTGTTTATAGTATCACGATAATCATTAATTCGAAACATTTTAAAATTCAATTTAAATGTTGGCGAATTCTTAGTTATTGCAGACTTTTCAAAAAATTATGCATTTGTAGTGCAGAACCATGCACAAATATTTAATCAGACCAATAATCAAGCCACTATCAACACTTTTATAATTTATTACCCAACATAATAAAACATGAAAATTTAGTGGTTATATCAGATTGTTTAAAGCACAACGCATGTGCATTTAATTTATTTTAAAAATTTATCGTATTTTTGAAGGAAAGATTTAATAGAGTGGCTAAAATTTATTATTTTTCTGATGGAGCAGTGACCAATATAAAAATAAAAGATTTCATTAATCTCTATAATCATGAAAATATTTTGGGATAAAGGCTGAGTGACATTTTTTAAAACCACAAGGTAAAAGCATGCGACATTTTGGGGGCCGTTATTAAAAACGGTTAGCAGCTCGAGCAAGCTTGCAACGTCCATATGAACATCACATATTGACAACAATACATTTATTTAACTATGCAAGAAATAATATCTTTGGGGTAAATTATATATTTGTGAGCAATAATGAATATATGAACATAGAAAGTCATCTTGAAAGCAGATTTTTGAGAGCAAAGAGAATTTCTGGAGTACAAAGTTCAAAGCTTTTATTACCATAGCATAGACGAAAACAAAAGTCATAATTTATTAAAATTCTTTGGATGATTATAATATATGATATATTTTAATTATAAATTTTTGATTTTTGAGGCAAATAAAGTTATAAATATGTTTAGAATTATTTTGTCAAGCAACTTCGAGACAAAATTTAACTCAAGTGTTAAACAAAGCTCATTATTCCAGCCACTTCTGAAAAATTTTGAGAAAGATAAAAAAAAGTAAGGGCCTGTCATTTAGACATAATTTTTAAATTAACATTATTTCATAACTATTCATTAAATTAAAATATGATAATATTAATGTTAAATTTGTTCAATTGTTCATCCCAACCTAGGATTTTGTCAAATATAAAGCAGTGTGATATCTATCTACAGGAAAAATTTTTGAAAAAAATACCTTTTTTTTCTATGGCCATTTCCGGTTTTATACATCCGGTTTTCGATATTAATAAAATGTCCATCATATTTATTTTTATGTCATTTTAAAGAACTTTTATTAAGCTACAAAATACAATTTAAATTATTTTTCTAACAATTATTTCTCGAGATATTTGAAAATAAATGAGGTGCATTTTGTCAAAAATGTACCATTTTTCCGCGCTTTAAACGACCCTATCTTAGCGGGTAAACAGTGTTGGAAGTAAAATTTCATTTTTTTTCTTAGTTATAGTATATAATACCAGTATACAAAATTTAAGAAAAATTGAAGGGGGTCGGGTTGAAACCTTGGTTGATTTGATAATTCACCATATATAATATAAAATTATGCAAAAAATAATATTTATTAAGATATCTTAAAAATTTGAAATAACGTTTGCGTTATCGTTAATCAAAAGAAAGAAATGCCCTACCCTTACTTGTTACCTTTAGAAAAAGGTAAATGGCGTTCCTTTTTTTCTAAAAAGGTAATGACGTTAGTAACGATGTTACTTTGCAGCACTAATATATTCCTAATGATGAAAAAAACGTTTTGTTTTTTATGCAAAAAAAGAAAATCGGTTTATTACTATATTTCTATCAAAAATATAATGTGTATACCAGAACCCTGTATCGGACCT